AGAGAGAGAGAGAGAGAGAGAGAGAGAGAGAGAGAGAGAGAGAGAGAGAGAGAGAGAAGGGGAAGGGGGAGCTACTTACACACGACAGGAAGAGGAACATCAGTGGACATAAAATAGCTTGCAACCTACACCCAGAAAATCGTTTTGTTGAAAAAACTAGAAGGAAATTTTGATATTGTTCAAAATAAATTTCTTTGGCTCGAGGACTACATTTCCTTGAGTCAAAGACTTTTAGTCAAATTAATGCAAATTTTCTCTTCAATTTATTTTAGGCCAATTCCGTAGAGTCAAGGCTAATTTCAAGGGAATACACGGAAAAAGGGAAATATAGGTGGGCACAAGCGTCCAAACAGCACCAGTGACAGTTTGTTTCAAATGATGAAGTAACACGACTCTCTCGCCCGCTAATTGTCTGTCTATGATTAAAGTGGGGAGGTGTTGGACTCGCTTATTATAATGATCATAGTAAGAATTGAAGAAAACACTTTTGCGCACCGCGCACACGACGCCACGAAGACATTTCCGCTTGGAGACTATTTCCAGCAAAACAGCCGCATTGTGTCGTTTGGGCGTGTAAGTTGGACATATTTTTTTTCCTCCAGCGGACTCTGCTCAGCTATTACACGCTACACCTAATTCATAACACACACACACACACACACACACACACACACACACACACACACACACACGCTGAACCACACACACACGCACGTGCAATTTGAAAAGGAAGAAGCCAACAAAGTGTGTGTGGTTGCGCGTCATTTATCCCTCAGTTTGAATTTTTTAAATTCAGGCGCCATGCAGGTCGAGCCACGGGTCGGGTGGACCTGTTTCCGGGAGTCTCCCCTCCCCCTCTAACCAACACGACGCACGCGTCGCATCGGCTGCAATAAAATGAGTTCCATTTAATTGAGCTCGGGACCTGGGTGTTCGATCGCCACTCGGAACTCGTGTAATTCATAACACTTTTTGTTTTCCTTTTTGTTTTTATTTTAAATTTTATTATAATGGCTTGTTATTACTTTCTCGGCACGCACGCACAGCAGTTTAGGGCCAACGTTGGCGACCGCTGCTGATTTTATGGCGTATTTGAGAAAGGGCGAGTTAAAGAATAATTTAAAACATTTTCAACGGGTCGGCATTATTTGCTTAAACAATTTTATGAATTTTCGAATGTGTTCGTTATAAAACAAAATTGCGATCATGAACATCAAGAATCATTTGTTCGGTATTTCACAAACAGTGCCCTGGAATTTCATAAAACCTGCTCAGTTTTCATAACATTTCGGTCATGAACATCACAAAAAATTTTAGTTTAGTCTTTCCGACAATGTTTTGTTTAGTTTAGGTGATCTTTTAAAACAGTAAATCATTGCGACTCACTCATGCACGTGCCACATGACGCCTCTTCTGATTGGATGAGCGAGTACATGGGTGAGGTAATGGCTCTATCGCGTCCGTGGAGAGGTGAGGAGTTCAAAAGACGCGCCAAACTACCACTCATCTGGAAACATTACCTGCCGCTGTTCAACGCGTCAAGAGCGCACTTATAACCCGCAGACTACTGTGAGTTCAGATGGCATGGACAAGACATAGATGCCATTAGCTAAGAGCATGCAAAAAGACCCGCTTTGTCGATGGGCGTGCTAATGCGTTTTTCCCAACACTCTAAATGTCAAGGGACAATGTTTGTCCGTAGCAAGATGCGTCTGTGTGCACATCTTGCAAGATGCAATGTTGCAGCTTGTAAAGTGATAAATTTATATCTTCAGTTGGACAAAATAAAAATTTGTCCAGCAGGAGATACAAATTTGTCATGTAGGATTCAAAATTGCAAATTGCAAGATGTGCACACAGACGAATCTTGCAACAGACAAAAATTGTCCATTGACATTTAGAATGAACCACATGTTTCTGTTTAGACTTTCTAAAATAAAAATCATACGAATTATCTTGGGAAAAAAAACTAAATGTAAAATACACGAAAATACACGAAAAAAACTACAACCACCCTCCCCAAAAATCGTGAAAAAGTTTTCCGAAAAAAATAAATTTTTTCGAAAACTGTAAGCATTTCTTTTGCAGCGTCTCGGGGCAATTTTGGGGGCACTGCCCCGGTGCGATGCACTGCCTGTGTGGCCGACAAGAAAAAGAGCCTCTAGGCGCGCGCGACCTGGCGTTAGGCGACAAGATCAAGGCGAGACCCCGGGCAAGGACGGGCAAGGCCGAGGAGACCGCGGCGGCGGCGCGGCACGGCGCGGGGCCGAGCGGCGTCGACGACCCCCGCCCCGTCAAGCTGCACGCGTCCCGTCGCGCCACGTCATCGCTATGCATGCTTTGCGGGGGTGGAGTACTTCTCCCCCGACGCATTAAAATACCACCTAGGCGACAACATCTACAATGGAGTACTGTTTTCACGGGTACGAGGTAGTAGCCCTACCACGAAAACCATGCAACTAGGGAATACATTGCCTATGGGATACTATTCCACGGGCAACGTTTCGTTCCTTATTACGATAAGATAAATGCAGTAGGGAAAAATTTTCTCAGGCGATATAACCTCTGATAAAAGGAACGCTGTAAATATTTTTCTCTCCTGGTGATGCGGACTTTGTCACAGCGGCTCACCGTTCCATTTGCTATGGGTACAAAACCGCCTTAGAATAAAGACGACGGCGAACGCCTATCCCGTCTACACACGCATGGGATGCACGGATGGGCTTGCACTTGCCGCAGGGGCGGTCGGGTGAGAGCGCGGGAGGGCGGGGAGAGGGGTACTCCTGGTACGGTTCCGGTTAGTCTCCGGGTGGTGGTTCGGCCTAGGATCAACGTGCACGCGTTGTCTCGGTCGAGACGGAATATGCAGCTGATGACTTCCGACAAGCGGCCCCCTTAAAGCTGCCACTTTATTGTGCGCATAGCGAGTGCGCAGGCCGCCGGCACGACAAGTCGTCACAACACGCGGGAAAAGCGGCTCTGTTTGAAAAGGGGGGGGGGGCGAAGGTTTTGCAGAGCGTTTGGGTATACGTGTGCGGGCCCGTAAGTTCTCGGAGCAACACGAAAACAAAAAAAAATCACAGAAAAAAACACATCAACAACTGATGTTGATGTATCTGTTGTATATGTTGAAGATGACAGTCGGAAATGTGATATGATGTGACAGCTGCGAGGGGCAGTGGGGAGGGGTCCACGGACATCCAGTCGCGGACAGAATATTTTGATCACAACTCAAATAGAAAAATCGGGACTCAAGGCTCTCAGGTTTGCATATATACTTGACGGATGCTACCGGCGTTCAAACGAAACATCTGACTTCCAACTACTTTGCTGGCCAGCGTGTTCCGTGTAAGGCACAGGATAAGTATTTTTAACAGGTCACAAAAACACGTCTCAAAACACATTTTTTAAAAAAAAGAGGCCGAAATAAAACAACATGAAAAAATAGTTTGTTGATCATAAGAAAATGTAGTCGTAGATTTCATGGGAAAATTTTCCATGTGATCGACAAAGTAATAATGGTCTGTCGCAAATTTAAAGTATATTTTGTAAATAAAAATTACAAGAAATATTTTAAATTTACGAAGACATTTTTCTCCGTGTTGCTTCTCTGCACCTCGCGTCGCGCTGACAGAAAAAGAAATAATTAAGAAAGGGACGACGGCGTCTCTGCAGTGCAACGGGTTGAACGCGTTTGGCACCCGCGAGTGGCACGCGCTCCACTTCCCACATCGTCAGGAGGAACTATTGGACGCGACCACACGTACGTGACGGGTACGTGACGCGGTGCGTGTAGCGTCGTACGCACGCCAGGAATGTGACGTGATGTCACTAACCGATTGCAACAATATAATGGAACGTGTGAAGAAGAAAAAAAAAAGAGAGGGGTTGACGGCCCGATCACTACTACTGGAAAAAAACTCAGCGGCACCGCGCTCCACAACCCTGAGACCGAGGTTTTTTTAATACGTTCAATTCGAGAACTGCAAGGAGACGTCTATGAAGTTTAGCTCCACGACGTCTTCGCAATAGACAAATTCTAATTTTGGAGTCGATTGCAAGTGTTATTAGTTATTTAACTTCTCAAGAAGGCGATTGCTACACAGGCATGAATTTAATCGCGACTACTTTCTCTAGAAATTTTTAGACTGACCCGGGCAACAGTAGCCCTGTGAAAAACTTGCTTACGCTTTCTTATTAATCGTTTTACTTTAAACATTTTAAACATTGGCATCTTTTTTCTTACGAAGCTTCCGTGTTCTTCGTAACGACGAAGAACCGCTTTGTGTAGACTTATCATAGGGAACCTCCCACTCCCCCCCCCCTCCCTCCCTCTCTCTGTCTCTCTCTCTCTCTGTCTCTCTCTCTCTCACCACCTGTGCGTGCCGGTCGAGGCGTTGACTCACGCAATTGTGTTTGTGCCAGACTGGTTTCTTCCCCCTTCATCCTCTCTCTTTCTTTTATGTTATTATTTCTTTTTCCTTTCCGATGATGCATTTGCATGCTCCGGGCGGCGACCCAATGCCTTTCCGGGTCTATTACGCACCGTCCATTACAGCCTCATTGTCACAGGGCACACTGTCAAAAACAATTTCATAGTTTTTGGAACGATTTCTACACAAATTCCAAACAGTAGTAGGCCTGGGCAATTTTCATTGAAAATTGTATGGCGAGTTACACGAAGTTACAGTTT